AACGTTGTATTCTTTTTGGATAAGAAGTTTTAAATGCTAACAACTTTATACATAAAATTTGTATATTTATCCATTGTCAATAATTGTTTCCAAAATTTTACGTGAATATATTCAATATTTTAATGACACATCTATCTAGATGGATGCATCTGTCTATTAATTTCGCTGCATAAGGTTTGTGTGCTGAAATTAGTCGTATTGAGTGAAGTCCTTTTGGCCAAGGAGTTTTTGTTTGTCTTAATAATTGTTAATATGTAGTTGTCTGTCGGCTGTTGTATGATTATGTAAATTAGGTAGAAATACGTAAGTATATTTGTATACTACTTATCGTAATGATGTGCGTTATTTTATAAAGTGTCTGTCTATGAAAAACACATTTACAAAATTAATAGGTACATATTTGCATTTTGAGAAGATTAAAGCTAATATAGGTATTTTATTTAAAACATCTTTTTTTTAACATCAAAAATTTGGGATAATAATTTTGATCAGATGATGAATTTTAAAATTTAAAAGAAGATTAAATTTTGTATTAATGCATAGGATAGAGTCATGTTAAAAATTGCATGGTTCGAATTTTATTTTAAATTAGCCATATAGATAATAACTAAAACTTGTATTGAAATACAAAAATAATTTGTGATAATTTGTAAAAATTTTTTGTTATTAAGTATTTGTTACATAATGTTATTTCAAAAAGTAAGTTTCATAATTTTAAAATATTTTCAAAATTAAAATTGTATTACTTTTTAATTCATAAAACTATATTCCATTTACTATTTATGTTTTAAATTTTAACCTATTTTACATTGATAAAAGGACAACAGCCAAAATCTCTATAAAGACATGTTCTTTTCGACCACAATTCAATTAAGTGCATCGTTATACAAATGTAAACATGAAAACAGATATATGTATGTATGTACACATGTACACATATGCAATCGTACGTATGAACATTTGCAAAGATATATACATATGTATGTATAATTACTTGGCTATAAATGACACTATGTACTTATGCGTAGCTCTAGTGGTCTATTTTATTTAACCAGTCTTACATATGTTTGATTTGTACATAAATATGTATGTATGTATATCTTTACGTATGTATGTATACGATACCAAATACATAGGTAAATATACCAAACATATGTACATGTGTATAGATATGTTTAAACATGTATGTATTTCATATCGCTCATTTACGTGAAGATCTTGATAACTCAATATTTCAGGTTTTTGAAATTATGTATTACTACAATCTATATACAATAGACCGACTCACTCTATATGGAAAGCAAAAATGTGTTTTTGTTACCCATCCCAAAATTTACCTTGCTTTGTTTTATGATGATTTCCAAAATATTTTAAGTCTAGCGATGGCCGTTCGGGAGCTGGACCAAAATTTAAAAAGGTATTTTTTTTAATTATTTTTTTAAAATTTTGGGGTATCATTAGAAAGGTGTTTTAAAGGCGCTTCCAATGATGTGTTAATCATAAATAACAGTCTCCTCATAATTGTCATATTTCAAAAAGATTTAAAATTCTTAGATTTTTCATGGATATAAATAAAATTTATGCATAATTTAGCAAATTGTGTATACCTTTAGACGCGGATTTAAAATCCCTTTCAAATGATACCACATATTGTGCAACATTTAAAAAATAACTAAAAATGGTCTTTTTTTAACCGGTCCAGATCACGAACGGTCATCGATAGACTAAAAATATTTTGGGAAACATCATAAAACAAAACAAAGATTTTTTGAAACTGGGTAAAATTTTGAATTGAACATTAAAAATCGTGTCCCTCATGGGAAATTTTCTTAAAACTGTCCAGCTCACGAACGGACAACAGTAAACCCAAAATATATTGGGTAACATCATATTACATAACAGCGAATGTTTTGAGGGGGGTAACTCAAGCACAATTTTTTGTGAGTCGGTCTAATACACATACATACATTTTATAATATTTTAGGTGGAAATGTACATTTTGTCTCAATTTTAATTTAAATTCAGATGAGAAACGAATGAACCTCTAAATTTAAAAACAGGCTTAATGTTTAAATTTCTATGATTTCTTTAAAATTTATTAAGGAATAGTAAAATGTTATAAGACCTTCATGGTTGTTTTATTGAGTTATTACACTATGTATTGTAGTAAATGAGTATTACAAGTATTAGGGACATATATAACTTCTGAAATTTTGTTTTTGTTTTCAATATATTAATTAATAAGAAAGAAAGTGAGTTTTCGATATTGTGAAACAGGGAGTAAATAAAAGATATATTACGATTTCTTACATAAAAGATTTTACCAGTGTTTCGAACTATAAACAAATCAGTCACGAAAATTTGTGAATCCCTTATATTTGGTATCTGGGAGTAAATAAAAGATATATTACGATTTCTGTTCCACTTTAAAATATTTCTTACATAAAAGATTTTACCAGTGTATCGAACTGTAAACAAATCAGTCACGAAAATTTGTGGATCCCTTATATTTGGTATCTGTTTTTCAAACATAGATAAACCTTTCTAATATACTCCTTCGTTTTGAATGGGAATATTCATGTACAAATATACTTAAGAACACATGTAACTGAACCTTTAAGCTAAATGCCAAAAGCTTGTTAAAATTTCCACAATTTTGGCAATCACAATAGCAAAAAACTTTGTATAGAAAACAGAGCAAGGTTTTTTATTACCTCTTACGGTGATTTCGAAAATACGGTGACGACCGTCCGTAATTTGTTCCGATTTCAGAAAAATACATTCTTATTATTATTAAGACAATATTATTGTATATAAATGGCTAGGTCAAATCTTATATACCTACTAGTATGTTTATTCTATTTAGAGTAGTTTTTCTAATCATATTTACATTTATGAACATCTGAGTGAATATTTCTTCATTTTTTCCATGAGATGTTTCTCCTGATATAAATAAAAAGCTGTATTGAATTTACAAAATTCTGGCCCCATTACAATACTTTACTTTTTGTAACTGTCCAGCTGATGAATGACTCTACCATCCAGTCCATAAAGGTACACTTTATCAGAGTGTTATATGTGGTAGAACAAAATAGATTTTCTTTTCCAAAAATAAAAAAAAAAAATATTTTTTTTCCATATATTTCTACAGCATAATCTAGAAGCCTGGAAACCTGCTATAATTTGTACATACTACTAGTAACAGATTTTTCATTGCGATATTAGTCTTTTTAAGCGAATTGTGGACATTTAACTAATTATTTGAAGGGGTCTTTGTATGGTCGGCAGGGTCTTCAAAGAATGTATAAAACTTAGTTGCACCGCTTTATGTCGAAAGTTTCTAGTTATGAACTCAAAAGCCCTATTCAGGAAGTTCTGTTGTATGGGGGCTAGGTGAAATAATGGATCGATTTTAAGCATTTTCAATAGACTTAATCTCTGGGACAATAAAATACACATTATGTATCAAATTTCATCGAATTATCTTCAAAATTGTGATCTGTAGTTTGATTCAAGGTTTACATGGATGGACAGACAAACAGATAGACGGACCGGCATAGCTAAATCGACGCAGAAAATTATTCTAAACATCCAAATTATACTTTTAAAAATATCATATAAATTTCTTTGTGAATGGTACTTAAAAAAGGTTTTCGCTATTAAAACACTACTGGCTACCACGTAGTGATAGGGTCTAATTTTAGGTATAACCCTAATGCAGAGTTAAAGTTTCTTATCAATATTTGGTATGTTAAGGAATTGTATAAATCCGAAATTATATAGAATTGCGATTATTTGAAAGTGTGCTAAATAGAAGAAATCTATTACTCTTTCTCTAAAAGGCAACTGTAACCTATTTCTTGCAACTCATAATGAATTCTAATACAATATATTAATTTATTGTTATCACACACTCAACTAAACATAGATTATAAACTTAAATTCAAAACTAAACGCTTATTAGTTGTTATTTAGGACGTGATTTTGTTAACACCAGAACAATATTTATTTCATCACGAATATTATATTAAGCTAACTTAAATCCTTGAAAAATCAAAGTTTACCATTGTGTAAATTGCAATTTACTGACCCAGACATTACAAGCAACATCATTATTATCAAAATCATCATCATTATCTTTAGCAGCAGAAGTAAAACACAAAATCAACAACATCTTTTTACTCTTTATATTAATATCATTTTGGTTTGGAATTTTTACAGTTTATATTTTTTCATCGTTGTTGTTGTTAGCTGGTTTAGGAAGTGTTGTTTATCCGTTTACACGTATTTTCTAATTTTACTTAAAACTTTATTTTCATTAAACCACAAAAGATTTTAGAAACCAAACGACAAACATGTAACCCTACAACCAAGAGCAACAATAAAATAACATTGTGGCATTACTTTTTAGCAAAAACTTTCCATTTAACTTTCTTCTGTAGTATAATGACAAAAAAACGAACTAGTAAGTAAGTCTGTCATGTCCGACCATATGATACGCTATACCAGTTATAAGAGCAAATATGAGAAAAGAATGGACTGATTTCAGTCGTTTTCAAAAGACTTTGTTTTTAGGTCATAGAAATATCTTGAAAATTGTGACCTGAACGAACAGGAGTACAGAAATCACTATACTTCATAGTAGGAATACAATCAATATTTCAATGAGTTTTAAACATTAGCAGAAAACTGATATACCTTCGTCACTAAAGTGGTGTAGGTTTAACTACGGTGCTAACGAACAAGCAAACATCTTGGAATAAAATGCAACCTTTTTGTTGACATTTTACATACGTACAAATGTATATATGTACATACTCACTCAAATACACACACTGCAATTTGCCAAAAATATTTAGTAAAATGCCAACAATACACACGCACACCCAGGATTCAGAGTCATTTTAATAAGTACAAATATTTTGGAGAAAAAAATAAAGATGAAAACAAAAATAAATATAACATGCAACTAATATCAAATTATCTCTAGAAATCCTTGCAAAAAATTTGAGAATTTTCTCTTTTCACTCATTTTCAACCATGTCCCGTATTCCTTCAACTCAAGATGATAATAATTTGCACGCAAAAGTCACATTATTTGCACGTACACAAAAACTTGTTATTTTCTCCAGGTTATGCTTCTTCTAGCGTGTGCCAATGTTATTTTTTTTTTATATATATATTTTGTAAAAATACGATCTAAAAAGAAAAACAAAATAAAAAAAATATTTTTGGTGAAATTGGTACATGCTTGTGTGTATGTGAGAAAGGGTAAAATCTGCATGTGTTTCTATGTGGTTTATAAAAGCGATTGCAAAAATTTTAATATTGTAAAAAAAGGAGAAAATACTAGATTTGAATATTTTTAAAAATATTTTATCGCTTGAACAAGTTTCATCTAAACACACTTTGCTGTACTACATTTACAAAAATAAATATTAGACAATCCATGACGACAAATACAAACAATACTTAAGAAGTTGATAGTCCTGAGTCGAAAATATTAAGTAAAAATAGAACTGAGCTAGAACTGACCTAGAACTGAACTAGAACGGAACTAGAACTGAACTAGAACTGAACTAGAACTGAACTAGAACTGGACTAGAACTGAACTAGAACGGAACTAGAACTGAACTAGAACTGAACTAGAACTGAACTAGAACTGAACTAGAACTGAACTAGAACTGAACTAGAACTGAACTAGAACTGAACTAGAACTGAACTAGAACTGAACTAGAACTGAACTTGAACTTGAACTAGAACTGAACTAGAACTGAACTAGAACTGAACTAGAACTGAACTAGAACTGAACTAGAACTGAACTAGAACTGAACTAGAACTGAACTAGAACTGAACTAGAACTGAACTTGGACTAGAACTGAACTTGAACTAGAACTGAACTAGAACTGATCTAGAACTGATCTAGAACTGATCTAGAACTGAACTAGAACTGAACTAGAACTGAATTAGAACTGAACTAGAACTGAACTAGAACTGAACTAGAACTGAACTAGAACTAGAACTGAACTAGAACTGAACTAGAACTGAACTAGAACTGAACTAGAACTGAACTAGAACTGAACTAGAACTGAACTAGAACTGAACTAGAACTGAACTAGAACTGAACTAGAACTGAACTAGAACTGAACTAGAACTGAACTAGAACTGAACTAGAACTGAACTAGAACTGAACTAGAACTGAACTAGAACTGAACTAGAACTGAACTAGAACTGAACTAGAACTGAACTAGAACTGAACTAGAACTGAACTAGAACTGAACTAGAACTGAACTAGAACTGAACTAGAACTGAACTAGAACTGAACTAGAACTGAACTAGAACTGAACTAGAACTGAACTAGAACTGAACTAGAACTGAACTACAACTGAACTACAACTGAACTAGAACTGAACTAGAACTGAACTAGAACTGAACTAGAACTGAACTAGAACTGAACTAGAACTGAACTAGAACTGAACTAGAACTGAACTAGAACTGAACTAGAACTGAACTAGAACTGAACTAGAACTGAACTAGAACTGAACTAGAACTGAACTAGAACTGAACTAGAACTGAACTAGAACTGAACTAGAACTGAACTAGAACTGAACTAGAACTGAACTAGAACTGAACTAGAACTGAACTAGAACTGAACTAGAACTGAACTAGAACTGAACTAGAACTGAACTAGAACTGAACTAGAACTGAACTAGAACTGAACTAGAACTGAACTAGAACTGAACTAGAACTGAACTAGAACTGAACTAGAACTGAACTAGAACTGAACTAGAACTGAACTAGAACTGAACTAGAACTGAACTAGAACTGAACTAGAACTGAACTAGAACTGAACTAGAACTGAACTAGAACTGAACTAGAACTGAACTAGAACTGAACTAGAACTGAACTAGAACTGAACTAGAACTGAACTTAAACTGAACTAAAACTGAACTAGAACTGAACTAGAACCGATCTAGAACTGAACTAAAATGCATAATTTTTATTTCAAGCTAAACATTAATTTCTTTAATATCGTATAGAAATGAAACAGTACTTTAATTTGTTTCACAATTGTAATCGCCAGAGGAAATATATCACACTTTTAATTTATAATTTTCACTTTTTCCTGGAGTTTTTATTTGTTGACAACTAAATCTCTTTGATAAGCACTTGGGCAGCAGGAGTTTTATTTAAAAAGTACCATCTCCTGCGGCACTAGTACTTAGAAAAGTGATTTTCGTTTTTGAGCTTAAACTGAAATAAAAGATAATAAATATATGTCTATTTGGTTACTATTAAGGCCAATAATTATTTATATTTACAATTTTATTAGATTTAATATTAAATAAATATATAAATTAAACAATTCATTAAATGTACAAAATGTATGGAAAACTTACTTATGTGACTTATAGTAAATTTCAGAAAAATCTTATTATAGTGTACTGCTGCTGTTTGACATACATAAATATATCCTTAATGGAGAGGTAAAAAAAGTATTAAAGCATAGACGGACTTGACTGACCATACCAAACCTTATAGCAGTTCTTTTAACACAGTGATGACATTGGAGGCAAGTACTTACCAAAATCGCTTTTAAATAAATACTTAAAAATAGGGAGTTAAAAAGTTGTTTTGTTTACAAAATCGGTCTCGTATTTTCAACACCAACAATTTCGAAATATTTTAGCAATTTATTGACGATATATTTTAGCAACTTATTATTGAAAAACTAATTTTCCAAAGGTTGTTTGTGGTCTTCTTCTAACGATCCGATTTTAACCCAAATCAAGATGTAGGGTCCTTGTGGATATTACGTGTACCAAACTTCATTGAATTATTTTCGAAATTAGAAATCGTATTTAAAATGTTTAAATAAGTGGACGAATGTCGGGCTTGATTTAACAGACTAAAAATATGATTTTAAGATGGGTATTACCATTTATTTGTATGCTCTATAAACATCAGCATAAACCAAATACAAAAGAAAACAAATTATGAAGTATTCTGCGTAATTTATTGTTAAAACACGAATATGGTTTCTGAAGAATTAATGTTGATGAATTGTAGATATTTTGAACTAATTTTGGTAAATGTTTTTGTTTTATTTAAAGCGTTTCAAGCTATAACGCTGTAAACACGAACTCAACAATAATTAATGTTTTATTATCTGCAAGGAGCATTAAGTACAAATACACATTAAACAATTCAGTAACATATTTTGCATAAATAGACTTCTTTACTCCACGTCTATGTGTTAGTAGGCTGATATTAGGTTTATATAAAATAAAAATTACAGAAGATAAGCTCTAATTTTGTTGGATTCGTAACTATAGAATAAACATAAAAAATAAACAATCATAATAGTGATCGTCCACAACAAGGAATAAACATTTTATTCCTTTTATCAAAAAGCATTTACGAGTAGATTATTTGTTGCTTTGATGTTTTACAAAATACCAGTGCCAAAGACTGGAACTAACACTGTGTTTGTGTGGTCAACCCAACAACCAACCATACAACCAACGAACCTGCAAAGCCAGTTCAAATGTATGCACGATAAAAGGTGGCATCAGTGGCGGTGGTGTTGATGATGACGGTGGTTGTGACGATGATTGTTACATAAACTGGTATGTGTGTCAACGGAAACGGAAATTCATATACAGACATTCATACACATATCTGCTGTTATGTTACACTCTATATCGAAAAAGGTTCCCTATGGCTATTAATTTTGTAGTCAGAGATAACTAACTGTATTTAAATGTATGTATGCTTGTGTAGGTTTTATGCACACGTAGCCATACACATAATATACACGACTGTAAACTTGTATATATTAGTATCCCAGGCACTTGTGGATCAACTGTATAGTAAAACGTTATTACATGTTTTATGTAGAAAGTTTCATGTTTTTTTTTCTCTGCTTACCTGCTTTATTGAGGATATAATTTTTTGACGAATTTTTCATTGTTTTTATTACGATTTTATTTTTTACTTCTTTAGTTATTTGCCAGGTTTTCTCAATTCCGTTGCGGTTGTTTTTGTTGATTATAAGCTTTTTTCACGTTATTTTCGTAGTATTTATTTTGGAGTTTTTTCTTTTAATATAAAAATTCGTTTGTTTGTTGTTTATATTTCCTACATTCTCTTCAAAATATTTTATTTTTTTAATTTATACCTATAGGCTTATATGTATACTAAAATACACAAATTGTTGCTTATTAATTCCTTACATTCATTGACAGCGCACAGTGGGAAAAGTATTATTAAAATCCACAAGAGGCAATAATTATATTTAGTACTGAACTATAACTGAATTAGAACTAAACTAGAACTGAACTAGAACTGAACGAGAACTGAACTAGAACTGAACTAGAACTGAACTAGAACTGAACTAGAACTGAACTAGAACTGAACTAGAACTGAACTAGAACTGAACTAGAACTGAACTAGAACTGAACTAGAACTGAACTAGAACTAGAACTGAACTAGAACTGAACTAGAACTGAACTAGAACTGAACTAGAACTGAACTAGAACTGAACTAGAACTGAACTAGAACTGAACTAGAACTGAACTAGAACTGAACTAGAACTGAACTAGAACTGAACTAGAACTGAACTAGAACTGAACTAGAACTGAACTAGAACTGAACTAGAACTGAACTAGAACTGAACTAGAACTGAACTAGAACTGAACTAGAACTGAACTAGAACTGAACTAGAACTGGAACTAGAACTGAACTAGAACTGAACTAGAACTGAACTAGAACTGAACTAGAACTGAACTAGAACTGAACTAGAACTGAACTAGAACTGAACTAGAACTGAACTAGAACTGAACTAGAACTGAACTAGAACTGAACTAGAACTGAACTAGAACTGAACTAGAACTGAACTAGAAACTGAACTAGAACTGAACTAGAACTGAACTAGAACTGAACTAGAACTGAACTAGAACTGAACTAGAACTGAACTAGAACTGAACTAGAACTGACTAGAACTGAACTAGAACTGACTAGAACTGAACTAGAACTGAACTAGAACTGAACTAGACGACTAGAACTGACTAGAACGCGTTATATATTTCTAAGCAAACCCACAATACCCATGATTTTATGTTACTTAGTTTTTGTCTGTAGTGTTTTTATTCATATTATGGTTCATATTTGTGTTGGCTTAATAAATTGTTTTACTT